TCACTCATGCAAGAAACATTCATAAAAGTTTCACATCAAAAGCATGAGTGTAGACTGAGTTCTATTGCAACTAAGATCTCCTTGATAGGCATGTATCTAACATCTTTATCTTGCTCATTTCTTATAAATTTGACCTGAAATTGAACATTCATACTCTTAACTCATATGTTAACATGTCATAAAAATTTCATGTTAATAGCATGTCTATAGACGTAGATATTTGCATTTTAAGTGGCAGCTGAAACTAAGCATAATCACTTTGCACATTAAACTTCAAATACTTATAATTTGAGCTATACTGATCCAAATGACATGATTCTTTCATGAAAATACTCAGCACAGATACAAGAATTACATATGTTCAACTTACTTCACAGGTTGATCATTGCATGCACAGAATCAAACTCAAACAGGACCTATGCTTCATGTACATGAATGAAGAACCCTTATACTTATTGTAAATTTACGCTCACTTGAAAACTTGAACTTTCAGCTTATCCTAGCACGTATTAAAGCTCTGTAACTCAGCTATATAACATGCTAATATTTGGATTCTTACCTCTTCAAATCACTAAGCAAAAGATCAAAGAAGATGGTGCTAGGGCTTCTTCTCGTGACAATCACGCACGTACAAGTACTTGGTTGCTATTCTTCGGTTTCTCTCCTTCTAAGTGTTTGCTGCGTTCTTAAGGTAAAAGACTCATTTTTTATCTGATCTATGGTTCAAATACGCATGGTTAAGAGGTGGAGAGTGAATAATGCCTTAGGAAAAATTGTAGTAAAAACAAGTGTCCTTCTTTGACTTAGTCACCCTCTTATGTGTATTTCTCACAATTTTTCTAAGACTTCTTGGTGTGCAATGAGTTTTGACCATAATAAATCTAATATAAATCATTAGTCTACAACTTAACATCACTTATGCTCGGCAATATGAAGACCTAGGCGCGAGAAGGCACGGAATGCAGTAGCGACTTGATTTGGACCGAGAACCTAGCTTTGGTTTAGGGCTAATTAAAGGCTTGATTTGATAACTAAATACTTATAAGAATTTTAAAGAAAATACTACATAAGTTCGGTTAGGGTTTAAGCTATACTCTGTATTAATTAAACCGAACTTGTTCGATTTCGATCGCGACTTAATCTCGACGATTTATCGAAATATTCTCGACTTCGATTATCTTGTCGACTTAAAATAATTAATCCAGACAATTAATGTCCGTTTATAAAAATAAACGGTTTGGAATTAATTACCGGAATTTGTTCTGTTACTGAATAAACTTAAAACCGAATCGATTTTCGACTTAAAGTCGAACTTATAACTAAATGACTTTATAAATGGGCTCGAAAACTACAAACGAGCGATATTAAAAAATGTAAAAATAGTTCGAACTCGGAACTAAAATATTACTCTTATTAATAAAAGAACGGGATATTACAATCTATCCCCTTAAACTATTTCCGTCCTCAGAAATAATAAAACTGAAAATATGTACAACTCAAAACTCAAAATATCTACAAAGATACATAATTTGTATATACATTTCAAAACTGAAAATCGGGAAATCGAGCCCTAATGTCAGTTTCGCGCTCCCAAGTGGCATCAGACTCCCCGTGGCTATTCTATTTAATACGAACGAGGGGAATATCTCGATTCCTGAGTCGATGAACCTTTCGGTCCAATACTGCTACCGGCTGCTCCTCGTAGGTCAAATCTGGTTGAATCTGAATCTCGTTGTGCTGGAGCACATAATCGGGATCGCACATGTAATTCCGTAACATTGATCCATGAAAAACATTATGAACATTGGATAACTCGGGAGGCAAAGCTAAACGATAGACTACCTCGTCCACTTGCTCGAGAACTTCGAACGGGCCTATGTAACGAGGATGTAACTTCCCCCTTCTCCCGAATCGAACAATCGAAAAGGTCGAACTCTCAGGAAGATTCGATCTCCACATGGACTAACACTAGTCAAGGATCATTAGGATATATTTAAGAGGAATTTACACCCCTTACCACAAGCTATGATTTTATTACATTTATATACCCCTTATATTTTTATTTATAAAATTGGCTAAACAAGCTAAAAATATTTCTATTATACCTCACATATAAGATGTAACCGTTATTACCTTTTTTTTTTCTGGCATATTAAATGCTAATGAGATCATTAATTGAAATTAAATCTGTACTTACCTAAATATGTATGACACTTTTTCTCTCTCTCTCTCTCTCTCTCTCCCCTCTCTCTTCGTCTCTCCATCTCCCTCTCCCTCTCCTTCTTTTCTTCTTCTTCTACAACTTTATGTTTATACTTTCTCTTCCCCTACAGTTAAAATTTTTCTCTATTTTTTTTAATGACCGATCAAAGACCGGCGACCCACTGCTTGTTAGTTAATTTTTTTTTTTCTCTGTTTATATGCACAAATTAGCAAAGTTGTATACACAACTCTCTTTGAAAAATTGGAAAAAAAAACTCTCGTTGAGAAATGGCGTCCCATGACAACTTAGTACCTAATCTCACTTTCAGATGTCAAGAACCTTGTAACCCTTCTTCAAAATCAGATGTTATGCACGTGTACTCAGCCTCGTTTTCCCCACGTTAAATGACTCCCGAAAAAATCAGTTCCTTTCTCCAAAAATGCACCAAGACTTGGCGTCGAAGAAGGGAGAGCGTGGAAGGATAGGATGTGGCGGCGGAGGTCGTCAGAGAGGCGGATGATGCCGGTCTGGGAGCCGGATCGGAGGGCGGCAAGCTCGGGGGACGACGGTGTCGTATATGTACAATATATGTAGAGTATTTACAGTTTATTTGATATATGTTGAGTATATTTACAGTTTGTTTGATGTATATTTACAGTTTATTTGATATATGTTGAGTATATAGACAATATACTTTCAGTTAATTGACATTTTATGTTTTCTATATAAATATAAAATCATATTTGAATGCAATATATACTAAAAAATATTTAAAAACTGATATATATTACACTTCTTGAGGAACTCTTGACAGTAAAAATGTGATTAGAGTTTATATTCAGTATATTTTCGATATATGCTGCAGTTTCTACCACCTCGTGAAAAACAAGAAATTTATCGAGAGTTGTTAATTCCCGTAATCCATTCACCACCGTAATATCTGCATGATTTTTTCCTTTTTTTTTTCTAGTAACCAAAATGGAAATCACGCATTAGATAAGGGGAGGTTAGCATTAAATAGTAATTGAATCTAAGCATTAATTCAATTAAATGTTATCTTTTAGGTAAAGACATAATTAATTATAGGTGTATGGTATAATTGTAATATTTTCATAATCACATAGGATAGATGGAAATTTTCCTATATTTAAAATATAAGCCATAAGCCCATTTAACTCCCACATCTTCATGTATTATATTATAAATTATATTAGTTATTTATTAATAATAAAACTAATAAACTAATCTAAACCTAGTTATTTAGCTCTATGTTTGATCCTCGCAATTCTCGATTGTCTTTTGATATAGACGACGCTTGCCTTCTTGTCAATGAATTTTATCCCAGAGACTTCATAGATTATGAAAAAGATTTATTTGCGAGTTCAATTGCGACATTGAGAAGGATGTTCTCGAGCATTCAGAATTTCAAATTTTGTGCATTATCTCTGATTTGTTCCAATGGATGGTGAAAAGTAGAATGTCCTTGATATATCCATTGATTGATAGATTAATCAGGTTGATTCTTACTCTTCTTGTGTCTACGGTGACCACAAAGCGTGCATTTTCGGCTATGGCTATAGTTAAATCCAAACTTCGAAGTAAAATGGAATATGACTTTCTTGTAAATTCTTTGACTACCTTTGTTGAAAGAGAAATTGTAAGATCTATTACTACCTCATCAATCATCGATGGATTTCGTGACTTGAGAGAACGTTGAGCAATTCTAACAGTCACAAACTTTGAAGGGTATGTATTTTTTGAACTACTTTTTTTTTTTCAATTCTAGAAATGCAACGTTGTCTTTTTAATGAAGCATGTTGGTGAAAATTATTTAGTCCCCCCANAGATTCGCCCCTGCCCCCAACTTGGGCAAAAAGTCCATTTGTCGAATCTAGTCACTGGACATTGAAAAGCTGAGTATCGGACAAAGCACTATTGACCCATCCATGTCCTACTGAAATTCCATTCAACCTCGAAATGTCTTAGACCCTACAACTCTGAGTCCTCCTCAAACTCGCTTGGAATCTCCTACTATTTTCAGCACTCCTCCCTTAGTTGACGCAGCACACTTAGAGCTTCTCCAATGCAGCGCCACAATCTTGTATTTGCGCTAGAGTTGCGATGAATTTCTCTCCAGTGCCACGCTAGAAATTAACGCCATTTTACATATATGAACAGTGTTGCGCCAGATGTGCGCAACACTGTAGGGTTACTCTACAATTTTTTTTGTTTATTTTATGTATTTTAATGTAATATTATTGGTAAATTTTTGTATTATGTGTATTAGTAAATGTATTTATTATATTAAATAACTTTGTGGTTTTTATTTATTGATGTATTATAATTTTATTTTGCCAATTTTTTTAATATCATAGTACCCTACAAATAACAATTTACCACAATAAAATAAAAACAAGTAGATTTTATTAAACGCAAATGTGTACAATACACATAAATCACAAATTACTCCAAATATCAAAAAACAACATAATTAAATTTCCGATGACTTAATAATCTACAAACATATATATAGCAATTTATTTGAAATAAAAATGAATAAAAAATTAATATATTTGATGTAGAGTAAAATGTAGAGATAAGGACTAGAGACCAATGTTCACTCTACTATAAAATAGATAGTAGAACTAGAGTAAAAATAAGGACTGGGAAGGCCTTAATTTGTTGGCGCCGAGCACTATAGGTAATGGGCGAAGGCCACCTTCGAAGTTAGACTTGTAAGACAAGGTCATCGAGAATGCCAAAACAATAGCAGCGAAATAATACCGGACACACTCGAATGTTTCCATTGTTCTCATCATCCCATCATCTCCAGAAATCTTGCCGCCCTCGGTTTAGCTCAGTTATCAGTCGAATTCTCTTTCACCAAAAGAAATCACATCTTCGTACGGTAGCTGAAACTAAAAACCCCAAAACACCTCCATCATCTGTTGAAGAGAACCCCGAATATTTATCTTCATTGAAATTCCTAGGCATTGCAAGAACTGTGATCTCCAAGTGTTCGAACCTATGGGATTCCAGTAAAGGTGAGATATTCAACACTGCTTCGCTTAAAGATCATCTTTTGAGCTTATCTAGCATATCCCCTCATATTGTACGTAGATTTTGGAGAACCACCGTTTTGAAACCTGAACATGTTCTTGAAATATTGCTGGGTTTCGAATCGGACAGATGTAAGAACAATCTTGCGGTTAAAAAAGATGTGGGGACTCTATGGGGGATTTTCAACTGGGCAAGTGGGCAAAGTAAGGAATTCTTGCATTCTCCTCACTCCTGTAAGATTATGGCTTCGTTGCTTGTGCACAATGGGTATTTTACAGAAGCCGACTATTTGTTTTCTAGAAAAGAGATCCAAGGAATTTTGTTGGACTGTAAAGAAATTTTCAATAATCTGATTGCGGGGTATTTGGGGGAGTTTGATTTGGAGAAGGGTTTATTGGTTTATGAAAGAATGCGGAGTCTGGATTTAGTTCCATCATTGTCGACTTACAATGCTCTTCTTGGATATTTGGTGGAATTGAACGAAACCAAATTGATGTACAATGTTTATCTGGATTTGATCACAATGGGAATGGGAAGGAATGTAGAAGAAAGTAGCTGTCATGAGAACATTATTCGGTTGCTCTGTGTAGATGGAAAAGTTCAAGAAGCCAGAGATCTTGTTAGGAGAACCATGAGTTTTGGAATGAAACCGAGTAACTTGGTTGTTAACGCAATTAGTTCTGGTTACTGTGATAAGAAGGATTACAGCGATCTGTTAAGATTTTTAGATGAAGCTGGAATCTTGCCCGATATGAAACTCGGGAACAAGATTCTGTTTTCTTTGTGTAATAATTTTGGCACGGATCAAGCGAGCGCTTTCTTGCAGAAATTGGAAGAAATTAATTTCTGCCCAGCTGAAATAACATTTGGGATCTTAATCGGTTTTAGTTGTCGTGAAGGGAAATTGAAAAATGCTCTACTTTACATCTCTGATGTCCTTTCAAGAGGTCTAAAGCCAAATGTCTACTCTTACAATGCTCTCTTGAGTGGGATGTTTAAGGAGGGCATGTGGATGCAAGCTCGTGAAGTGCTTCTCGACATGAAAGATACAGGAGTAAGTCCAGATTTGTCAACCTATAGAGTTCTATTAGCGGGATTTTGTAAAGCTAGACAATTTGATGAAGTCAAGGCAATAGTGTCGGAGATGGTGGATTGTGACTTAATAACTCTCTCACCCTTGGAGGATTTACTAACAGAAGGGTTCATGATTTTGGGGCTGAGTCCATCGCATGTGAAGATTAAAAGGGATAACGACAGGGGATTGTCTAAGACTGAGTTTTTTGACAGTCTTGGTAATGGACTCTATTTAGACACGGATATGGACGAGTACGAGAAGATAATTGCTTCAGTTCTCGAGGATTCCATGGTTCCTGATTTTAATTCCTCTATAGTGGAGAAAAGTAGTAGTTCAGATATAAATGGCATTCAGATAATGGTGGATGAGATGGAAAAATGGGGGCAAGAATTATCTTCTTCAGCCTCTGCTTCTTTAATAAATCGCTTTTGTAGAGGCCCCTTTAGTGTCAAGAACATCACTCATCATGTGTCGGTCATGTCGAAATCAATTTATCAGCTTGATTGCAAGAATTTGAATACTATTATTCAGATGTACAGCAAAAAAGGATTTACTTTTAAAGCACGAATGCTTTTTGACGGGATGGTGAAAAGGGGCTACACTATTGATAGCTGCACCTATTCATCTCTATTGTTTGATGCATGCAGAAAGGGTGATTTGCAAAGCTTCAGTTACTGTTTTGATCTTGCGCGAAAATCTAATTGGTACCCTGAAGCAAAAGACGGTAATGCCCTTCTAAGCTCTTTGTGCAGGAACAAATGGTTGAGTGAAGCATTTGAACTGTTTGAGACGATACTCTCTGTTAGCCCTTATGATATATTGGGCACTTTTCACTCATTACTTGAGGGGCTTTGTACTCAAGGATTCACTAGTATTGCTCGTCCCTTACTGGAGGAATTTTCTAAACAAGGCATGTTTTTGGATAACACAGCTTATAGCCATCTTGTGAGTGGGTTTTGTCGAGAGAAGAAGTTCATGGAAGCCCTCAGAATATTTGATTACATGCTCTCTTTGAATCTATCCCCACCGCAAGATGTAGAGCAGGTGATTTGTCAGCTTTGCAAAACAAACGTCGAAAAAGCTTTTGAGCTGAAAAATTTATTCATAAGAAATCAACCTCATGCACTAATTCTTATCAATCGTGCCTTGATTAATGGGTTATGTAAGTCAGGAAGGATTGAAAAAGCAGCCAGTGTATTCCGGGAGGCATCATTAGAGGGCTCAATTCTCGATATTGAGGTTTACAACTCTTTAATTGAAGGCTATTGCGGGCTGAACAACTTTGAAAAAGTTAAACAAATTCTTGCAGTCATGATAAGGAATAATTTGAGCATCTCGGTTTTTAGTTACAGTAAAATGGTGCGCTCGGCTTGCACGGAGGATAAATTCTCTCTTGCAATGAGCCTCAAAGAGCTTATGTTCCACATAAGTGAACTTCCACAGCTCGTTCTGTACAATATTCTGATATTTCACATTTCTTCCACGCGGGCACTTTTTCTTCTGGATGAGATAATTTTTACACTTGGAAAGAAAGGTATACATTTCGATGATGCCACTTATAATTACGTCATCCGAGGATTCTTGCTGTGTGAAGACACATCACGTTGTTTACACTATCTGACGGTCATGATTAGCAAAGGTTTAAAGCCAAGTAATCGTACTTTAAGGAAAGTCATCAACCGCCTTTGTGAAAATGGGAATATTGGTCTTATCATGGATTTGAGTCGACAAATGGAAATCAGAGGTTGGGATTTTGGCCCGTTCATCCAGTGTAAAATTGTGAATGCCCTTATCGATAACTGCAATATTCTTGAAGCTGTTGAATTTCTTGATAAGTTGATGTCTAAAGATTTGATTTCCAATAACATAAGCTATGATTATTTAATCCAGCGGTTTTATCAACAAGGGCGAATTGATAAATCTGTCGAGCTTCTTGACTTAATGTTGAGAAAGGGAATTGCGCCTGAGTCGAACAGTTATGATTGCATAATCCAGGGTTTGTGTGATTGCTGTGAATGGGATAAAGCATTGGATTGTTATGCCGAGATGTTGTGTAGAGGTTTAAAGCCGAGTTTGTCGACATTTGAAACTCTTGTTTGTGGGTTGAGCAGATGTGGCCTGCTCGAGGAAGGTGAGAAGATACTTAAGTCGATGATTTTGTACTTTAGCGAAAATCCGAGACGTGAGGTTTTCGAGACGTTGGTTGGTGCGTATATGTCAGAAAAGAATAACAGTAAGGCGTTTGAGTTATTGAAGGTTATGCAGCAAAAGGGTTATGAGCCGGATTTTGATACACATTGGTCTTTGATTGGTAACTTGAGTAATTCCAGTAAAATGGATCAGAAAAGTGGGTTTTTGTCAAGCCTTCTTTCGGGTTTTGGGGTCGCACGAAAGTAAAACAGCTCGGATGTGAGGTGAGGTGTATGCCCTCTTTTGTGGATTTTTTGTGAATTGTATTGAGTGTAATTTAAAACAAAAAACGTTTTTGTGATGGAACATCCTGAATTTGGCTGATTTCTTATGGTGTGTGCGTCTTAAACAACTCGCGGTTTTTCTTTTCTTTTTCTTTTTTTGGTTTATTTTTTTCTACTTTTTTGGTAACTTATAATCAATCTGCTGCTCTGTTAATGTTAATACGTGAGAGTATTTACTATTTTGGCAACGTGTGTTGTGTAGGCTTAGGTAGGCCTGGGTTAAACTTGGTGGAGTTGAAGGTGGAATTTTTTATTTATATAAAAATAAAAAAAAATTAAGTGGAAAAAAAAAAAAAAGTGGAATAAAATCAAAAACACGTATTTTAAGAATACGTTTTTAAAAAATAAACGTATATAGAGAATACGTTTTCAATAAAAAACATATTATGTAAATATGTTTTATTAAAAAATAATTAATTAACGTAATTAATGTAATTAAGTTAATTAAAATGAGATAAAATGTATTTACTGAAATACGTTTTATTTTAAAAAAAACATAACACGTATTCTTGGAATACGTTTTTTAAATAAAATTAATATTTTTAATTTTAAAAAACATATTTCGGTAGAAAATAATATTTGAAAAAATAAAACGTATTTTGAAAATACGTTTTTCAACTTAATTTTTGCCCAAAATTGATTTTGCCCTAATTTTAGCCCCAAATCGATTTTCCCCTAATTTTACACAGTAAAACGTATTCTCAAAATACGTTTTTTGTACGTTTTACTGTGCAGAAACAGTAAATCACATAAATAAAATTACAAAAACACACCTGTTAATCGAGATCGATTCCACAACCAAATATTAATTCCACAAAACCCACATCAACTCATGTCAAAGAAAGAACAATGAAGCACAATAATTCATTGTCCAAATATAAAAATCCAAACAAGTCCAAATATCATTACACATAATCCACCACGAAAGAAAAAAAATAAATATATATGTCTACAAAATTCCTGGAATACAACCCGTCCTAACTAGGAGTGTATCGATTCGTAGGGTTGCGCGGTCGGGAGCTAATCCGACGCCGTGGTGGTTGTGAAGAAGACGATGCTGTGGGCGTGGTAGGTTCTTCTTCTTCTTCTTCAGCTGAGTAATTCATCTTTTTAAGAAATCAGAAATTCGACTTAACAAAAATCACAAAACATAAATAAAATTATATTTTTGTTAAGTAAAAAATGTTTACCTTCTTCTTGTTCTTCCTCAGGCCCGGTGTCGGCAACAGGTTCGCGGTGACGTCGTCTTCTACCTCCACGAATATGGGGAGGAGGTTGATGCCTTGCTCGGTGTGACTGCGTCCTCTGGGGTTGGACGTAGCTCTCTTGTGATAAAACTTGGCTCGACGACGTCCCTTGACTGATCTCTCCGCCTCCGACAGTCAAAGAAGTGAAGAGAAGGCTCTTGGCATATTGGATTGCCGCCTGCATCTCCGGATGGGCTGTATGATATAGATGCTCAACATTGGATAACACGTTATAAGCCCCCTCCATGCCGCTAGCCTGAAAATTAAATTCAAGTAATTTTTATGAAACGCAAAATAAAAAAAATAATAGAAAAAAAAACACACAAATTATAGACACTTACATCGCACTTCCAATGCTCGGCAAGTGGCTGATAGCCTCCGTCTTGTTGTACCACCGGGTACTTGGCAGGGTTACTAATTAGTCTCACAGTCCTGCTGTGAAACCAATCAAGGTAACCCTCGCCAGGCTGTATGAATGACTCCACACGCTCATCTGGGAGGACATTTTGGTGTCTTTGTTCGACCCAAACATTCCCAAGCTGGGAATGAAAGTCGACCCAATCATATACTCCCCTCCCGGTCATTCCCTAGCCTCGGTGGTGTGTCTCCCAGTCGACCTCACCCGTAATGATCGGAGTGTCGGGGATGGACCGATGACACCCGAACTGACGGAGGACTCTACCCGGCTCGTGGGTTTCACGGATGTCCCAACAAAACATCCAGCCCCTATACATCCAGAGGCTTGAATGTTCTGTACACTGGGCCGGGAGAGTATTAGCATTCAGGAGCTCTTCATACGGCATCCAATCGAACTGTAAAAAACAAAAAAAAATATAATAAGAATTAAGTTATTAAAAGATAAAACACATAAAACAAAAACTAAATAGCAATCAATAATACTTAATAATAATCTTACATCCGTCTCTCTTAGCCCTGTCAGTTGATCCCGGACAGCGGCTGTTCTCGTGACTATGTGTTTCGTGTCCTTCCGTCCCACCCACCTTAAAAATCACATAAAAAAAAAGCATCAGAAATTGTAATTAGAAAACTTGATAATTGAAATAATCAAACTATAAAATATATAAATAAATATCATTACCTTCCACCTAAAGGACAACCAATGACTGTTTGAAATTTCGTATCTCTCATTCTCGGGCGAAGCCGAGGGATACGTTCCCATGCCCAAACCTAAAGATATCGACATATTCATTTGTTATTTAATATTAGTCTAAATTAGAAAAAAAAAAATGAATTTTGAAATAACAAGTAATTAAATGTACCTGAATCAATTGGACACAGCTCTTGATCCAGCCTTCCCCGGTCTGGTAGCTTGTGCACAACGCTCTATACACTGCAGCCAGGAGCGCCGACCCCCAGCTGTACTCCTTGATCTTATCTATGTTGTGCAAGAGCTGTGTCCAGTACAGGTTGACTCCACAGGCCCTCTGATCGGGAAAGAAGAACGATCCAAGGAACCAGAGGATAAGGGCCCTCGCCCTCTCTTCGTAGGTCGTAATGTGTTCTCCATCTTGCAGCACTCTGTTGCATTCGTTTTCCAACCTCGAGTGCTTCAGATACTGGCCTACAATGCCCCAAGTTTTGGGGTTGGCTGTCGGGCCGTCTGCTTCCTGAGAGTGATTTATATACATTAAAAACCAAACAATGGATTATACATAAACAAACAAAAAACAAATAAAAAAAAATTGTGTTAAAAAAATTTACCTGGGGGTCGAACCCCAAAAGGTCCACACACTCATCTCGCCATTGCTGGTTTATAAAACTGCAGTCTGTCCCCAGCAAGGCTTTCCATCTACCGGGAGACCAAACAGGACTTGTACGTCCTGGAGCGTGATTGTGGCCTCCCCGAAATCAAAATGAAAGGTGTGCGTCTCCGGTCGCCACCTTTCCACCAGACATGTAATTAGGCTGTTGTCGGTCTGGACTCTGCCCATCCGAAACAACGGCCCAAAACCCGTCCTATCGATCACCTCTAAAACCGTCGGATGTTGTCTGTCCAACACCTTCCAAAATTCAGTGTCGTTACGGCGGTTTTTAATGGTGCCGTTACGACATCCTTGTAAATCTTCATATACCGCTCTCGACCGGTGGCGGTACTGAAGGTATAAAAGGGAGCGATCAATCGGACCGGGGTGTACATTCAACCGTTGAGGTTGTGACGAAGACGATGATGCCATTTTCTACAAATAAATTATATAAACAATAAATTCAGAAATTCACAAATAAATTATATACAAGAATAAATTCACAAATAAATTATATAAACAATAAATTCACAAATTCGCAAATAAATTATATACACAATAAATTCACCAAATCACATATAAATTCACAAATCACGAATAAATTCACAAATTAAACGTATCTCAAATAATTCGAAGCCCTAATTCACATATAAATTCACAAATCACGAATAAATTCAAAAATTCAACATATCTCAAATAATTCGAAGCCCTAATTCACAAATAAATTCACAAATTCAAAACCCTAAATTTAGCCCTAATTTGAGATCCTGAAAAAAATTGACAAAATTAAAGCCACAATAGAAGGAATGTACCTTATATAAGGGAAGTAGGCAAGGCGGTGGTGCAGCGGCAAGCGGCGGCGGCGACGGCGGGGTAATTTTTTTTTTTTTTTAATCTCTACAAACTAATTTGAGAGTGATTATTGGTGATATAAACATCATTTGAGACCGAAATTCAGTGTTTTTATGTGTTCGTTACAAGTGGTACTAAAGACCCGATATCTGGTACTAAAACACCGAAAGCTGGTACTATTCTATTCTAGGTCTGGTACCAATTATTGCAAATGTTGACTACAATTGAATAATCCATTTTCGTTGACCAAAAGTTGGTACTAATTGATAAAAAACAGGTACCACGTAGAAGATTATGCGGTACTATATTGGCTATAACAGGTACTATTTTAAGAATCTTGATATCTCTAATCCTTCATGTCTACCATGACACGTGAATCGTTCATGCCTAATTTGGATGAAAAATAGTGGAAGTCAAAACATATAGGTAGAATTTGGAATAATCATGTATGATGATTCTGTGAGATGAAGTGTATCATTCAATGAAATGAAGTGTATTTGTAGTGATTTCTCATTAATGTGTTGAGTTTGTGACCAATTTCCGATAAAACTTAATTAAACACGTTATAAATCTCATAGAAAAGAATGTGAGAGTGATTATTGGTTATATAAACATCATTTGAGACCCAAATTCGGTGTTTTTATGTATTCATTAGAAGTGGTACTAACCTGCCAATATCTGGTACTAAAACACCGAAAGATTGTAACCCTACGTCTGGTACCAATTATTGCAAATGTTTACCACAATTGCATAATCCATTTTCATTGACCAAAAGCTGGTACTAATCGATCAAAAATAGGTACCACGTAGAAGAAGATGTGTTACTATATTGGCTAAAACAGGTATTATTTTAAGAATTGTAATTTCTCTAATCTTTCATGTCTACCATGACACGTAGATCGTTCACGCGTGATTTGGATGAAAAATAGTGGAAGTTAAAACATATAGGTAGAATTTAGAGTAGTCATGTATGATGATTCTATGAGATGAAGTGTGTCATTCAATGAAATGAAGTGTCTTTGTAGTGATTTCTCATTAGTGGGTTGAGTTTGTGACCAATT